CCTTGTGATCACGAGCTGGGGAAGCTTCTGGCAGTTTCTCACAGAAGCCACCCCTGTACCCTCCCACTCCCAGAGTCTGGCCTGCCACTCCACTGTGGGCTGTGAGAGAATGTGCCYAGTGCCTGCCCACACTTATGGACCTGTCCAAAAGGTTGAACTTCATATTTCCAACAATGCCTTTGACAAAAAACCTTTGTTATGAACAGCTGTTCGTGCTGTCAATGRAGAAACCACACTCACAACTTCTATCACTAATTTAATTCTGATTTGTTATTTTTCTTTAAAGCTCCACTTAGTTCATTGGAATGCCAGAAAATATACAACATTTGGAGAGGCAGCAGCAGCTCCAGATGGCTTGGCAGTAGTTGGTGTTTTCTTGGAGGTAAGAATTGCAAAAATAGCATGTTTACATGATGAAAAACATTATGCTGTGAAGTGTTTGAGGACCATGCCACATATTTAAGAAGTGCTTAAGGGAAACAGATGATGTACTGGAAGCATTAATGCTCTGCAAACTGCTGATAAACTTWGGTAGGAATGTTAAGACTTGGGTAAGAAAACAGCTACTATTCAAAGCATGGTTGCGGTCCTTCTTATTTAACCTGTCTATTTCATAATTTTAGATTGGAAAAGAGCATGCCAGTATGAACAGACTCACTGATGCTTTGTATATGGTAAAATTTAAAGTAAGTTCTCAGCTCTTTCAATTTGTTTTTGGGATATCCTTTAAAAATCATGCTGTTGTATATGTTTGAGACAAAAATGAAAAATCCCACACACACAGATCCTCCCAGAACTAGAAGATCACTGTAGTTATAATTTCTTCTTCCCCTCCATAGTTCCTTATCTGAGATGCCTAACAAGGCTGTGCTGACCCCACTGGTCATCCAGAGGTTCTGCCTTTCCCAAAAAATCTAAAATCAATAGCTCCATGACCGCTGAGGCTCAGCTCTTGTACTCAGCAAAATAATCCTTTTCCATGGAGTCTAGTCTGGAACAAGTGGAAGCTGCCTGTCTGCCTTTGTTCCTGACAGAGCTCTGCAGCAATCTCACTCAGACCCAGAGTTAGTCTGTTCCTGAAGTGTTCTCTGAGTGACTGAGACCCTTTTGGATGCTCCTATGGGCTGAAGAATTTGGTTCCAGACTGTGGTACTTCAGGCAATTACTGCTTTWGGCAGCACCTTCTTCTATTCTTCTATTGGTTGATCTCCCTTCTTCTATCAATCCACCTTCCTCTAATTTTAGACTTCATCTAATTTTAAGGCTTCCTCTAATTTTTAAAGCTGGTATTTACCATAGCAGACAGTGACTAYAGGATTTAAATTTTCTTCTAAAATAGACGAGAAGAATAGAAAATAGCAAGTAGTGAGACAAGGAATTCTGCCATGAAATTATCTATAGCCCACACTGAACATTTTATACAGAACACACCTCCTGCATTATTTTTAGTACGTTTGTGACAAGAGGTGAATTTTGTTAGAGACAATAGAGCAAGACCTCAGAGTCCAGTCAGCCAGCATTAGGCATCACACTTGCCATGCTGCTTTTGGTTAACAGTTGTTATAAGGCAGCCAAACCTTTACAGGCTTCTCCTTTCCCCTATTTTTAATGTTAMTTTTACATTGATTTTGTCTTTCAAAAAGTTATTTATCCTGCACTTAAAAGTAAAAGGATAAATTTCAAGTCAATTTTTTTTCCCCAGGGAACAAAAGCTCAGTTTAGAGGCTTCAACCCTAAATGTCTCCTGCCCTTGAGTCTAGATTATTGGACATACCTCGGTTCTCTGACAACCCCACCCCTTAATGAGAGTGTGACATGGATAGTGCTGAAAGAGCCCATCAGAATCTCTGTGAAACAGGTAAACTTCTGATGCTTTCTCAGTTCTTGTAGGATCCAATGCTGGATAAGCAGGCAATGACTGTTTTGATTTCACAGTGCTTCCGTTATTTTCTGTTGGTATTCTCTGGGAGCTTTACTTGAACCTGCTCCCTTAACTGATTAAAATGTACTGAGTACTYCCTTTTAGTCCTTTTTAAAAAACATTACTGTTGATTGCCCCTTAAGCAGTGAMTTGTTTTCTCTGAATTTCCAGCTGGAGAAATTCCGCATGCTGCTCTTCACCGGGGAGGAAGACCAGAGGATCCAAATGGCCAATAATTTTCGCCCCCCTCAACCTCTGAAGGGGAGAATTGTTCGAGCTTCCTTCAAGGCCTGAAGGAAACTGAAAATGGTCCTGAGATATCCAAGAGCTTCCACATGTGAGGTACTGTAAACAGAAGCGCTGGTCTTTAGACCACTCCTGGAACACACAAGACAGGCATTTCCATGAACCATCTGCTTGGAGGGGGACAATCTTCTGGCTTTCTCTTTTATTTGAAGTGCTCATTCTTTGGAGAAATGGGCTATTTTTAACCAGCAGTATTTAATATAAGGGATAACAACCTAATTCATGCAGCTATCCAAGACCTGAAACTCTAGAAAATGAAATTAAAATCCAACTTGATAGAAAATGGGAAATTATGTAGTGATCTACTAGTGTTGATGGCTGCAACTTCTACTTGTCTCTTTAAATACATGAGAAAACAGTAACCAAGAATTTTGGATATATTAGACTGAAATTTACATTACTGATCTGTTGTTAGCATTTGCTGAGCTCTGATTTAAAGATTGCTTTCACTGTACTCTTGCTGCCTGATGACACAGAGTGCATGAGTAGCACTAGAAAAAAGTTYTTTACTTGCCTTAAGTAGGATCTGGTATGAAAACTAGATATATATTTTAAATCTCCWGTTCTAAGATGCTATCTTCTCATGMAAATRACAATGATCTGCTGTGTGGAAAAGCAGAGCCCTTTACTGCACAGTRTTATTTATGTATTTGTCCTTTCAGCCCATGCAGAACACAGGACCACAGTATCAGGCTCTGGTTGTAGAGTCCATCTGCAGTGATCCAGGTGTGTTTTGTGGTCCTCAGTTGCTCAAATTCTACCTCAGTGAAGTGATAATGYTCTGCAATATGACCTCCTTCAGTGTCTGCCCTACAGAAAGCAGGTATTTKGTTTACTTTAGGGACCTAACATGGGTAGATCTTGTCTGCAATGAGTGTGCACTGCTGTGCAGACCCTCCCTGCCCCAGGGTTGTCTGGCAAGGATGGTCCCATCAGGCTTCAGCCCTCCTCAGCCCTTTTACCTCTGCAAAAGTTGCTTTAGAAAAGCCACGTGTTGGTTCTGCAGCTTCATAACGAAATTCTGACTCTGGTCCTCAATACTGTGATGTTCTCTGTGGTTACCCACAGTGCATTTCCAGTTCCTTCAATTGTAGGCTTCARATGGCCTGTTCTGTCTGTAGAGTTCAGGCAGAAATGGCTGGTGTTGATCACTTTTCATCAGCTGAGATGGAGAAATCAAAGATGTACAAAGCCAAGGGAAGCAGGGACAAGGAAGGACAGCAGCTGCTGTGGCTGCTCCCCTTTCTCAAAGGAAGGAAGATACGAGATGTGGAGCACAGTGCGAGAAATGGAAGAAAAATTTTGCTCCTCAGCTCTATGATTTTTCTGGTACACTGACCTGAAACTTTGTTTCTCGGTTTCCTCTTATGTAAAAAGAGGGTAACGCTGACCTCTACCTCACAAGGCTGTTGTGAGGGCTAATTCAGCATTGTTTTAGATGTGAGATTCTTATCCAGCAGATGCTAAAGGCAATCCTTACAAAATGCAGCTGTTTTAGCTATTATGAATGTAACTTTGCTAGTAATGCAAACTGGTATTGCAGAAACTCTATTTAATGTATCTTAACTTGTTTAACAAATGAAATAAAGGAGACGTTAAAATCTTGTGTGGGTATCTTCATCCTTTATTTTGAGAAGAGTCACCTCTCCCTACTTACAGCACTATTTTGTATGGCTTTTCATTAACAGAAATGATAGTTGATGTTTTCAACTGATGCATCTGTTTTGCATCAAGGAATGCTTTGATTGTTTACCTTCAGTTCTAGAGAAACATTGTCTAAACTACAGTGRAATGATCTAAGTATAGATAACAGTTATCCCTTCCAAGTTAATGGACTTTTTTTTAATTCTCGAATTTATTTCTGATACCTTTTTCTAGTCTATATCACAGTTCTTAGCTCTTCTGGGATTAACAGTTTCTGTTTCAGCTTAATCTTTTCACCTAAGTTCTGACATCCTGYATACCTTGAATGACTTGTCCTGAGTTAAATAAATGTTATAATGAATTTTATTCCCCTGTTAAAATTTTCACGAGGAGATGCATTTTAAAATGTAAAAAGTCTTAAAAAAAACCCAAACTTACTAATTGGCTAGCCCAAAACATTTTTATGAGGGCAAATTTAAAATACTTTTCTGATTAAAATATAACCATTATTTACCATTTGTAGCATAATCAAGTTAGCCYAGTACTGCTGCATTAATATTRGTGTTCACAGAGCAGGTCAAGATCAGTGTTTTCAGTGTTTTCCTCTCATTTTAGGCATAGGAAGAGATTTCTGCTCCCTGTCTCTCACRGTAGAGGGTCTTGTGCACTGAAATTTTGTCCAATTTTTCCCAGCTCCAGCCCCTCAATCTAGTAACAAGTTTATTTATCCYTTCTGTGACCTTGCACACAGTAGTTAAGCTTCTCTGAGGGTGGCTTAGTCTTGAATAACACAAGGATAATGTTTAGCTTACAAGGTTATTGTAAAAGCTTAGCTATTGCAAAGGGCTTTAAATGCTGCATCCTTCCAAGGTGTTCAGTTCCAGGGAGAAACTGAACTTCAGAAATAAATCTCCCATACCTTCCTTCAGAAATAAATGGGATTTCATTTACAGGGATTTTGGTTATTTTGAGATTTTTTTTCCCTGTTGTTGGATTGAAGACATTATCTATTTTAATCATAGTGAAGTAAAATATAAAAGGAAGACTTTTATAATCTTTCTTGTTTCTTGAGATCCCGATCATCCAATAAAAGAGCACAAATACTGTATTGTATAAACACCAATTTAATGCACTTCATTTATTTTGAGATTGAACAATTCTAAAACATGAGCTATCCTTATCTTTTACTAAGTGTGCTGAAGGAAAAAGAATTCACCAAGAATTCATTTATTTTCTCCTGGGATTGCAGCTGTCCTGCTGAGAGAACAGGAGTCTCACGTTTAGGACAGTGGCTGAAGTTGTAGGGCTGTAAAAGCTGGATTAAAAATGCCATCTAGTGGTTCTCCTTCCATTTCTTGCCACAATGCTTTAAACAATTTTTAAGGCCCATTCAGTCAAAATACAACAGATGAGAGAATTTAACTCTGACAATAATAATCTTTAMAGATGTAAGTAATTGTAATTGAACACCCCTTGCTGGCTCTACGCACGTAGTCCTTGGAGCTCCTTTCTCAGATAAAAATCACTTTGAACAAAGAAACTCAATAAACCAGTTATTAATTTTTGTTCCTCATTTCATTGTTGAACAGAGATATCCTCTGCTTGGTAAACTGCACTCCCTTAACTTTAGCTTTTAAACTTGAGTAGCTATAGTTACAGTTCAGCTTTGGGGTTTTCCTTGCAAGCAGAAAAAATTTTAGCCAGTTTCAGCCATACAGTTGGTATGATGTAGCAGAGATTTATAATCATAATTTCATGATGAGTGTAAATTAATCCAAATACAAGCATCAGAGGTAAARTTTTGCAAGGTACCTCAACACCAGATGGTCCTTCTGGTGGAGTTCAAAGGTCAGGRAGATAAAAAAGGGAGCATTTCAGGAAAAAAAACAGATAAGCCTGAAGAAAAAGAGATGTTATCTTACACCTCAGTGTAGCTGTTTTCCTCTCTGAATTCCTTTGGACACAGAAGTGACCATTTAGTGACAGCACTGAGTATCAAAGCACTGTCTCACTCTGCCTCTGAGAGTGGGGGTCTTATTAGCCTGAGGASAGCACAGCAGAGGATGAAACCTGACTGACTTGCACAGAGCCACTTCCAGCTTGCCTGGCTGTAAGGCAGGGACCTTTCACCTCTCTGATGTTCCATTTATGCTCCGACTCGCATTGTTTGAATTTCAACCTTATTCCAGGCTGTGAACAGCACCAYAGTAATGCAAAGCATTCAATTTCATATCAAGATAATGGAATATTAAATAGASCAATTTAGGAGCCAGCTCACCCTGTTTGTCTGTTGGAGAAGGTGGAAGGAGGAGAGGGAGGAAACTAATATAATCACTTTTTTACCCATGAGCACTTCTTCCCAGGTCAGAAGACTTTCCTGTACCTGAAAGCTGACCCCAAGAAATGTAAACTTACTTTCACAGTGGCAAAGAACCTTAATGATCATTTATTTCTGTTTAACTTAAACCAGTGTRTAAGCAGCATCCAATAGAAATGATACATGTGGAGTTCAGATCCTGTTACAGCAACTGGAAAGACCTTTGCACCAGTGCAATTACATTGACTTAAACTGGGTCTTCAAATTAACTCCTGCAACTCCAGCCACACTGCTCAGCCTCTGCTGCAACAGGAGGAGAGCTGGAATGGCACTTTTCCTACAGCTGTTCTTTGTGTTTGCCTCTGTCCATTGATGTTTCTTGCAGCTTGCCTTCTTTCCAAGCATTTGAGTGTTTGGTTTAGATTATTTAAGAACATCAGACTGGAAAYAGCTGCAACCAAACTAGAAAATGCAATTGTTCTAACAGGCCTCAACCCTCCTTMATTTTTTAATTTGTTTGTGGGTTTTGTTTGTTTATAGTAAGAGATCTCTGCATCTACRGTGCCAATTTGCCTTTTGTGAAAATCCAAAGTGCCATATCCAGCAAATGAAATGYCACTATTTGCAGGGCAAGACACATCCAGCAAACAGTGGACATTCTCAAAGGCCCTCAGCAGGAAGGGATCCAGGTGTTTTGTGGGCTAGTGCTGTGATTCCTTTCCAAAACCTGGTTATTAGACTGTTGAGCTTTTTGTGCAAAAAGCAGAAAACTCAGTTTGTGCTCTCTAAGAGGGGCCAGAGAGACAATTCACTCAAAGGACCCACGTTCCTCCGCATTGGCCATTCATAAGTTTCCAAATAGGTTCGATCTATGGCTATTTTCTAATCTGTATCTCTAGAACTGAGCTCTCTCTTAATCAGAAAACCTTCTGAAAATGAGAAAAATACTTTTAGTAGTAGTTTACTACTTTTCTTTGGATCCAAACTTTTTGTTACTAGCCAGCTTTTTGCCAAAAGGATTAGTTACTTATTAGAAATAATATTCCAACTTCTAACTTGCTTTCTTAGGGATATCTGGCTTATTTGGTGGTTCTGATTTTTGTGTGTCCCCATAATAAGAGATGCTTACAAAGCACCAGGAGAGGCAGACTCCCCATGAATTTCAGCGCATGCATGGAAAGTAATCCATCCTAGCACCTGCTGTGAAGGCAGTGGGGACTGAGGGGCAGCTGTGTGCAGGCTCTGAAAGCAGAAAATGCTTAAACTGCACCAAAGTAGCCACAGCCAGTTGCCCAGATGAACAAGCAGGGGGGAAAAAAACATTGGATGGGAAAGAGGGAAACCACAAATAGTGCAGTTYGGCCTAAACAAGAACACAGAAATGAGTACAAGAATGTATTTCCACAGAAAAACATAGTTGCTGACTGTACAAAATTGAACAGTCACCTTGAAAAAATCTAAATATAGGATTGCTACRATTTAACCTATCATTGCACCTTAATAAAATAGCTGGAAGTAAGACTCATTTTCTTATAAATACAGGTAAGKATTTTCTTCTGGCACATGACATTTTGATACTGACGTTTAGCTCACCTATAATCAGATGATCTAAAAMCCAAATCTGAGTTTTATTTAAAGAAACTCGAGTTCTAATTTTTTCAATGCAAATTAAGAACACAGAGCACTATGGCAACCAAGCACTGTTGCTACAGAAATCTGCCATTTTATTAGATATTCCTTAAAGGCAAAAATACTGCCAAAAAAAGCCTGAGCAATACTATTTCTTTCCTCAGATAATATCAGAGAGTAGGATTTCTACAATCTTTTCCTTTAATCATATATCACTTTAATTCATCACCATAATCAAACAGTCCAAAGTAGAATTTAAATGTCAATTCAACTTAATATCCAGCCCTATCAAGTACCTTCAATATAGTATTACTTCTTGTGTTTAGAAAACATGGAGTGAAAAAGACATCTCCTGCAGGACTTAATTGTTTCATTTCATTTACRTGGTTCCCAAGTCACTTCAGCTTTTTCATATGAATTTATGAAATTATTGCATGAACATGTGAGTAGTAAGTTACAGCTTTCAGCTGAAGAGAAGCATTTAACCCTGGTGGGAGCACAGGAAACCCAGAACAGTCAGGTTTGTTTCCAGGCTCCTTTGTAAATGGCACAGAAGCTGAAAATTGTTGAGAAGGAAGAATCATTGAATCATGGAATSTCCYSAGTTGAAAGGGACMCACAGGGATGATCCAGTCCAGCTCCTGTCCCTGCACAGACACCCCAACCATCCCACCCTGTGCATCCCTATGGGCATTGTCCAAATGCTCCTGGAGCTCTGGCAGCCTTGGGGCTGGGACCATTCCCTGGGGAGATCCAGACACTGCTCTTGGTGCACCTGAGCACTGGGCAGAGATGCAGGTAAGGRCAGCTGTGGGTATCCTCTGTCAGTTTAGCAGATTTGTCGGGTAGATAAAATAATTATGTCAAACTGAAGGTATTTTTTTGCACKTGCTAAAATAATATTYTGAATTTTTTTCATAAAGTTGATCCATTTTTCTGCATGTAAGATGAAACTGTTTCATTGTTCTAATGAAAACAAGAGACAAGTGAAAGCTC